CTTGTCCAGCAAACTCCCTTGTTTGTGACCGCACATGTCCCAAGGGTGCTGGTCTAGGGAGGTCCATCCTGTACACAAATTACAATCTATTTAAAAAAAACGAGAAGTCCTGTGGCACTTACTCGACCACCAGATTTATTGGAGCATCAGTTTTCATGGGCAAAGACCCACTTTGTCAAATGCATGTAGTGGAAATTCCAGATGCAGGTATAAAATATACAGGCATAAGAAAAGAGCTCCAAAGTAGGTAATCCTACTTATATATTGAACACGACGGGGTGTCTGTTAGCTGGTCTTGGAGTTATTCATTCTCTGCTGATATCTGCACCAATCCAGAACAGATAACAAATGTTAGGAAAGGGATAGAAAAGACAAAAATAGCGTTATGTCACAATATAAATCCATGGTACGCCCACAGCTTGAATACCACCTGCAATTCTCTTCACTCTGTCTCGAAGAAGAGATATTAGAATTGGGAAAAGTTCAGAGAAGGGAAAGAAAAATGATTAGGGGCCATTAAACAGCTTCAGTATGAGGAGCAATTCAAAAGACTGGGATTGTTCATCTTGGAAAAGGGAGAACTCAGGCCACGTTTCCACTTACTGGAGGATCGATGCTCCGGCGATCGATCTTTCGGGGTTCAATTGAGCAGGCCTGAGAAAGACCTGCTAAATCGAGCACTGAGGGCACCCCTGTCAACCCCAGTACTCTGTGTTGTCAGGGCCGCCCCAGAAAATCCATGCAAGGTACATTAACTCCAGGTTTGCAATTTGCAGAGCTGGAGTTGTGTATCTTGCATCGATTTTCTCTGCCGGTATAGACCTGTGGGAGGGATGACGATGAGTGAGCCTCTCTCTTCTCCCGTGGAAGTCAACAGTTGCTTTCAATAGAAGCAGAGTTAAGCTTGTGCTCATTAGCTCCATTTCACCTAGCCTTGCATGGAAGAAGTCAAGGATACCTAGTAGAGGTGCTGCAGCTTCGTTGTCCAAATTACCCCCAAAACAGTCCAGCAGACCCACTTGCACCCCATTGGGCCTTTGGCTCCCCTGTTGGAAGTAGCACCCAAAAAATAGGCAATCACAGTGGGAGGCCATTACCTTTTACCAAACAGAATCCCAGCTGGTCAGATGTGTGTGTCATATGCCCTATATAACTAAAAATGGAGATTCTCCTTTTGGGGTTGAGGCGCGGGAAGACTCTACAGCCCCCCACCCCTGTGAGCGCTGTCCTATGGTGCATTGTTGGGGTCACATCTTCCAGGCCCCTGGTTCGCCCCAGAGCTTAAATTCAGCCGGAATTGTCTGGCGTCTTGCATCCGTCCCAGCCCCCTCGGCTTGGCTTCTCGCTAGCTTGCTGCCTCCAGGAAGGACAATGCCTTGGGAAAACTCAACGGCTCTCTCCCCCCCCCCCCCCTTTTGTGAAA